TGAGGCAGGTGGATCATGAGGTCAAGAGATGGAGACCATCCTGGCCAACATGGTGAAACCCTGTCTCTATTAAAAATATAAAAATTTAGCTGGGAGTCGTCTCATGTGCCTGTAGTCCCAGCTACTCAGGAGGCTGAGGTCGGAGAATTGCTTGAACCCTCCAGGCGAAGGTTGCAGTGAGCCGAGATTGGGCCACTGTGCTTCAAGTTGGCAACAGAGTGTGATTCTATCTCAAAAAAAAAAAAAAAAAGATTTTACAGACTTGGAGATAATTTGACCAAAGTCAGACAACTACAAAATGGTGCAAGCAGAATAAGAACTGAGGTTTATCTGACTGCAAAGTCTATGCTCTTTAGCACAATTTGATACTATCACCTATCAATTTGTAGAAATAGCTGTTTTAGAGAATCAGACAATTTGGGAGAAGGCTACTTTGTCCTTTAATTCAGTAAATCATGTCTTTATAAAATGCAAAGTTAGGTTGATATAGAGAGCATGTAGTTATACATATTTCAATTCATTTTTATAAGAATGTAAAATCAGAAAGCACATATAAGGGGCTGTCCTAAGAGAGGAAGTACTAAGGTATCTCCTGGGATCTGTACCTGTGTCCAATGTCAAATTACTGTTGACATTTGAGTCATTTACATCTAGACGGTACAAAATGTGATGTGCTGATGATCTTGAATCATCATAAAAGGGTATACGTAGTTTGTTTCATTAAAGAAGATTGGAAAGGGCAGAATCCATGTCACATTTCAGAAAGATTTTGGTAAGAAAAAATCTTGTTAAAACCATGAGCAAGCACTAACTGTAAAGTTCAACGCAGGTGGCATATTCTCTTAAAGGGTCGTAACTGAAGAGTTGCTACTATGGTCTCAGTGTTATAAATAAAATTTGGTTTATTTTAATAAAATATCACTTATTTTATATTTTACTTATAAAATATAATAGTAGCAACTCCTCAGTTATGACCCTTTAGAGGTACTATGACCTCTAAAAGAAGCATAATTTTACATGGCCTAAAATATAAGTTACAAAAACCAAAAAATAATCCTATATATGAATACAATTAGCTCTTACTGAGCACTTGCTATATACCAGGCATTATGTTAGTTAAATACTTTACCTAAGTTATCTTATTGAAGCCTGTAGAAATCTATGATATATGCACTGCTATTTTTACTTAGATGAGAAACTGGGGATTAGGGAAGTTAACAAAATCATCCGATTTCACACAGCCAGAATCAACATGTTACACAGCTCAGGGAGGTATCATTTGCATCCTAAACTATGTGAATGCCTGATGGAATTAGGTTGCAGCCATACACAGTTGTCCTGCCAGCTAAGTGCTGGTAAAGCCAAGATTCATATCCAGGGTGTTTAATTCTAAAACTTACTCCATACTGCTAACTCTATGCTATGCACAGAGTAGTTTCCCCCCCAAAAGATTGTATATTTATTTCTAATTTTTGAAAAGTTGAATTATTCAATATTTAAAATATGTAAAATTTTGCAGAATATTATAACAAACATCTATCACTTAGATTTATTATAATTTTGTCATATTTATTTCATTCTTTTTCTTCCAAAAAAAAATAAGAAAGTAGGCCTGACACGGTGACTCACACCTGCAATCCCAGCACTTTGGGCGGCCAAGGCGGGCAGATCATGAGGTCAGGAGATCGAGTTCATCCTGGCCAACGTGGTGAAACCCTGTCTCTAATTAAAAAAATACAAAAAAATAAGCTGGGCAGTGATGGCGCACACCTGTAGTTCCAGCTACTTGGGAGGCTGGGGCAGGAGAACTGCTTGCAACCAGGAGGTGTAGATTGCAGTGAGCCAAGGGCGCGCCACTAAACTATAGCCTGGGTGACAGCACGAGACTCTGTCTCAAAAAAAAAACAGAAAAAGAAAGTAGATAAAGCTCTATTTGCCTTCCTTTCTCCAGAAAGTTTACTGTTCTAGAATTATATCTTTACAACTGTGTTCTTATGTTTTCTTAGTAAAGATGTACCTTTTTTTTTTTTTTTGAGATGGAGTTTCACTCTTCTTGCCCAGGCTGGAGTGCAATGGTACGATCTTGGCTCACTGCAACCTCTGCCTTCTGGGTTCAAGCAATTCTCCTGTCTCAGCCTCCCAAGTAGCTGGGATTACAGGCATGCACCACCACGTCTGGCTAATTTTTGTATTTTTAGTAGAGACGCGGTTTTGCCATGTTGGTCAGGCTGATCTCAAACGCTTGACCTCAGGTGATCCACCTGCCTTGGCCTCCCAAAGTGCTGGGATTATAGGTGTGAGCCACTGCGCCTGGCCAGTATATAGTTTTAATAATATATAAAAGAACTTATAAAATTTTCATAACTGGCATCATACTGTACCTGTGCTTTTGTAATTTTATTTGTTCATTAAATATTCAACATTATGATTTTGAGATTTATCCATGACGATACATGTAGATCTAGTTGATTCTTAACTGTTATATAGTATTCCATAATTTATTTATACATTTTTTTTGGATAAAAATTTAGGTTATTTCTACCTTTTCTGGCTACTAGAAAGCAATTGCACCCTTGTATACATTTTCCAGTGTGTACGCATACGGAATTCTTGTTTCCTTAGCAGCTTCTCCAAATTCATTATTCGCAGACTTGACACCCTTGCCAATCTCATAAATGCCAAATTTTTTTCAAATTGCATTTTTCTGATTACTAACAAGGCTGAGTGTCTTTGGATGTTTGTTGTCCATTTAGGTTTCCTCTTCAATGAATTGCTTAATGATATTCTTTTTATTTTTATTTGAGACAGGGTCTTACACCCATCACCCAGGCTGGAGTGTAATGGAGTGATCATGGCTCACTGCAGTCTTGACTTCTGGGTTCAGGTGATTCTCCTATCTCAGCTTCACTTAATCATAGCCTTTACCCATATTTCTACTGGTTGTTTGGGCTTTTTTTTTTTTTTTTGAGGCGGAGTTTTGCTCTTGTTGCCCAGGCTGGAGTGCAGTGGAACGATCTCGGCTCACCACAACCTCTGTCTCGCAGGTTCAAACAATTCTCCTGCCTCAACCTCCCGAGTAGCTGGGTTTACAGGCATGCGCCACCATGCCCGGCTAATTTTTTTATTTTTAGTAGAGACAAGGTTATTCTATTTTGGTCAGGCTGGTCTTGAACTCCTGACCTCAGGTGCTCTGCCTGCCTCAGCCTCCCAAAGTGCTGGGGTTACAGGTGTGAGCCACTGTGCCTGGCACATAGTGCTTATTATATGCCAGGCCATGTTCTAAGCACATTATAGATATTAATTAATTTATATTAATATTATAGATATTAATTTATATTAATATTATAATAATTAATTATAGATATTAATTAATTAATCTTCATAACAACCCCAGAAAGTGGGTACTACCATTATTTCTATTTTACAGATGAGGAAACTGAGGCATTGGGGCTTCTCCTAAATGTTTTAAAGTTTTGCTTTTTACTTTTGGACATTTAACCAATCTGAAATTTATTTTTGTGTATGATATAGCTAGGAATCCACTTTTAATTTTATCATATAATTAATTAATTTCTCAGTATTATTTATCAAATGAGCCATTCTTTCCCCATGATCTGTAATGGCTTCTCTGTCTTTTACTAAAATCTGACTCATAATACAGTTTCCTAGTCTGTTCTCTTAGATACTAGTCTTTCCCTGCACCAATACTGTATGGATTTAATGATCATGGTATAGATTTGCGGTAGTGATTCTTCTGTCCAAATTCTATTTCTTCAAAGTTGTTTTAGCTAATTTTGGTCCTATGACTTTTTTAAAAACTGATTTTTTAAAAGTTTAACATTTTAAATTTAAAATTAATGAAAATATCTAGATAAAGGCAGTATTATGCTGTAGCTAGCTCATACTGGCTTTGGAAAGACCATTGTGTGCCTCTTTCCCCAGTTTCACATTGAGTGAAGAGCACTGGCTATAGCAGGAGTATTTACACCATGGAAATTGGCAAGGCTACAAATCAAGACCTTTCCCCTCTCCATAGGAGATTCATCTGTTAACTTTACCAGTATACCACTGGATAGAGGTTAAATTTAAGATATATTAAAATTCAAAATATACAACCAAAGGAGAGATTCTATGGCACTTTAGATAATTTTAGATAACTGCAACAATATCTGGGGAATAACTTCAGGGCTGAGGTATCCTCTAACACAAAGTTTTCTTCACAGTTGTGCTCTACATGGGTCAAATATAGTTTTAGAGTCAGATCCCTGATAAACTTTCTATTACTTTTTCAGGTTTCCCTAATACAAGTTGTAGTATAAATTAAGATAATGGAAACTCCCATAAAGGTAGGACATATATTATCATTCATAGAATGGAGAATGGATATTTTTCATATATTACTATGTACTATTTTGTATTCTATTTGTTAACTGCCATATCTGCTTCAACTCCTTTAATTAAATTAATAGCATGTGGCTGTGCATGGTGTCTCACACCTGTAATTCCAGAGCTTTGGGAGGTCAAGGCAGGCAGATCTCTTGAGGTCAGGAATTTGAGACCAGCCTGGCCAACACAGAAAAACTCCATCTCTACTAAAGAAAAATACAAAAATTAGCCAGGCATGGTGGCAGGTGCCTGTAATCCCAGGTACTCAGGATGCTAAAGCAGGAAAATTGCTTGAACCTGGGAGGCGGAGGTTGCAATGAGCTGAGATCACACCACTGCACACCAGCTTGACAGAGCAAGACTCTGTCTCAAAAAAAAAAAAAAAAAAAAAAATTAATAACGTGAAAATGTAGCAGAGAGAAAGCAATCTTCTATATTATGAAAGAGCATAAAAAATATATAATAAACTCACATTGCCTACCACACATATACTAGTAACTCAGTAAATAGCCAGATGAATAACTCCTAATCATAAGTGATTCTTAAAAATACAATGAAAGTTCATCTGCAAAATACAATTTTAAAAAATACAGTGAAAACAACTCTTTACTCACCCAACTCAATACAAGTGATGCCAAGTGACCAAATATCAACTTTTCCATCATATTGTCCTTCATCCATAGCTAAGATCACCTCTGGAGCCATCCTACCAAACATAAGGTACAAAATTCAAGTTGTAGATTAAAAACAAAATTTCTCCAGTAAAGTAATTGAATGAAATAGCTCTTCTTAAGGGTATTCTGAAATTTTATCTGATATAGGTATTATTTCCTTACACAAATAATTTTGAAAAACACTTCAAAATATAATATACTTGGTGATTTACATGACACAACACATTATTTTCAATAAAGACTGGCTCCACTCCTTACTGTTGGTTTGATCTTAGGTAAGTTTCTTAACCTATCTGTACATCAGTTTCTTCACCTGTAAAATGGAGAGAATTCTCATAGCAACTTTACAGAAATCTGTAAAGAATTAATATACATAAAATACTTAAATAAATGATTACTTTGGAACAGCTGATTATATTGCTTTACATAGTTCCAAAAAGTATTTTTCATATTGTTTTAAGTAATTAAATAAAGCAGAAAATACTTTTTTTTTTTTTTTGAGACAGATTCTCATTTTGTAGCCCAGGCTGGGGTGCACTGGTGCCATCTTGGCTCACTGTAGCCTCTGCCTCTCGGGTTCAAGTGATTCTCATGCCTCAGCCTCCCAAGTAGCTGGGATTACAGGCATGTACCACCACATCTGGCTATATTGTTTTAAAATAATTAAACAACATGAAAAATACTTTATAGAACCATATCAAGTGATATAATCAGCTGTTCCAAAGATACTAAAACTTACAAAACAAAAACAAAACCCAGGTTGTGGTAATGGATGTTACTTTACTTGTTTGTCCATAATGCAGCTTCATTAGGAAGGCAGGGGCCCTATCCATTTAATATGCCTTGAAAAGAACTGTGCTCTATTATGATGTGTAATCAGTTGCTTGGTAAATGTTATTTGGTGATAGAAAAAAATTTCAAAGACTAGCTGATTTTTTTTTAGTAGGCAAGTAATTTTGCAGAGATCTAAGTCACTTTGTAAGGCATAGTGAAATTCCAACATACCTATGAAAGGAAGGAAAAGAATATGGAACAAAAAAAAGGGTGAAAAACTCTGAGACAGACTGACAAGCTAGGTAACCTTTCAGAGAACTCAACAAGGACAAGAACTTGGATTTCTTTCACTGAAAGGTACCATCTCTGCTTGTTGGCTAGTCAGGCAAAAGGAGCTGCCTTGTCCTTATGTGGAGGCTTTGCCTCGAGAGAAAAGTTCAAAAGAAACTGCAAATGAAATCGAAAACCTGAGCTTGTAAGCGAGTTGATAATCCTGCTCAGTTTACACACAGTGACACCAACCTTAATTGCACAATTTAAAGTCACTGTAAATTTTATACTAAGCCAGAGTGTTTCTTTTTATGCCAGTGGGTTTTCCATCCTTCTCAAATAAAATCTTGTTTTGAGGGACATTGGTAAGACACTGTCACAAAACCAAGCCAAACCAGTACCATGAATTCATGTATGCATATTTTAAAACTATGTCATACTTCCTAATTCTACATACCAGTAAGGTGTGCCCACGAAGGAGTTGGCAGGAGAAGCCATTGAGGCAGACCCAAAATCAGCTAGTTTTACCTGACCTGGTTCTGTTAGAAGAATATTTCCTGCTTTAATATCCCTATAGGAAAAAATAAAAGGGTTAGAAAATTACTTTTCAATTTTCATTATGGAATAGGTCAGAGCATGCAATTAATAAGACAAAAAGTTTATTAAAAAAAAAAAAACAAAAAACACCTTGCTCAGATAGCCAGAAGGAGATTCAGTAATTACTGCATGTTGTAAGGGGGCCCAGATTCCTGGGTGTACTTGCAGGTAGGTCATAGTAATTACTTAAAGGTACAGCTTTCTTCAGAGGGAGGGAATACAATGAGACAAAAGGCAGACATGGCAGACAAGGAAACCTATTCAGCTGCTACCCTTATAAAGGCATATTCTTAAAGGCCAAATCTAGTTATCAATAGTTTTCCCTGTGCTGAGAAAGTTGGTGCCAATTGTAACTGCTTTTACAAATTATGTGACATTTTTGGAGCCTAAACAATTCTGTATTGACTACCTACCAATAAACTTCAACTACACACATACCTTTTCTTTCTTGCCTGTGACCCTTTACTCTGCCTTTAATTGTAACTGCAACTCTAAGGCATTTGAGATACATGTTATATAGAAGGTGTTATTTTAAAAATAACTCTGTACAGTAAAAAGAAGACCCTGAAAGATCAAAACAAACACAGATTAGGGGTTAGGAAATGGCATTTCTACTGTATTACTACAAAGAATTGCATGTGGTTACTACTAAAGTTAGTAGATGAATTATAGAGCAAAATGTTTTAAAAATATAATTTAAAAATTCATTCTTCAGTATGGTAACTTAGAATGAGAAGGTGTGGATGTATTCCTTATTCTTTTTAAAAAAGGCATGAAGTGTAATGAGCACTAGAAACCATGAATTGGAAGTTGATGGTCAGTGAAAAGGTAAAACAGAGACGAGGAAAATTTATGTCAAGCTGAAAATGGTAAGGTTCAAATACTTCAAAATAACTTTTATAAAAACTTCCCTTGAAAATTCAGTTTCCTTCCTCATGGTGACAGTAGGCACTGGCACACAGAACTAAAAAAACATGCATTATTTACTTTTCTTCACAACAGAAAAATATATTTTCTTTACCTATCTTCAGTGAGGAGGCTGAACTACCTTTTAAATTGAAACAATAAAAATATGAAACATGGTATTTAGTTTTAAATTTAAAAAACATTCTTTATAAGTTTTTTGTCTCTTCGACAAATAATTTCACATACTAAAGAAGATAAAGTATATAATACAGACTAAAACATTAAGTTACTGTGCAGATTAAGGTAATAACGGCACAAAAAAACTGAACTGTGGCTTTAAATGAGAGCAGGCAAAACCATCACAAGCAAGTTGGCAGCAGTATTAACACCTTGGTACCAAAGACATATATTTTAAAAAAGTTGTCAGATCCATAGACATTATGATAATTTTATGTAATCAGCATTTATTAACATGATTAGGTTCACTCTTTGTCCTTAATTCCCAGCAGGATTTTGGTCTGCCTATCTTGAGGAAGTTCTGCTTTTGTGGTACCCGTAAGTGGTCATGGCTACGCTGGGGTGATTAAAACAGGAGCAAAAGAGGAACCATGACCTAATAGTTTCACTTCTTCCTAGTAAATGCCAGTTGTTTTCTTTCATTTGTGAGCCATCTCAGATTCTTTATGCCTACCTAAAATGTCACTACTCTTCTCCCCATTCATTAATGTAGCTGCACTAAAAGTTCATCATTGAGCAAAGGAAAGATTGGTAACATCTTTCTCTAGAAGTTAACGGAGGGAGGGAGGTTGCAGGGAGGAGAGTGGTGTTGTGGTAGAGAAAATACAAGGTAGAAAAAAGCCCTAGAACAGAAGTCAAGAAAGTTGAGTTTCAATCCTTAATATATTGCTCAAATTCTGTGAAGCTCTCGGCAAGTTAAGTCTCTTCACCTGCCAAAATACAGTAAAGATAATATCTTCCTAAGTATCCATATGAACTGTAAGAATGCGAAATATTTCAAAGTTATAAAATAGCATATATTTATCTAAGACTAGCTTGCTATTTATAATAGGAAAGGGACAATAACTCTGCTAAGAGATAAATGTATTCAAGGAAGGTTAAGTTTCTTTTCTTCCTGACGTAGTATCTAAAGATTGCTGGGCCCTTTTACAGATTTCCCTGTAACACTCAGCCTGGAGAATAGTTACGTACTGAACAAAGATGATATAATTCTGGATACATAGGAGAGAATAGGAGATACAAGCTAAATTCTGGCAGCTTTACTCCTCATATCCAGAAGCAGCAATCTATTTGCTTCCCATGAATGTTTAGCCAACCTAAAAACTGGAGTATGCACTAATTGTCAAGGTTCCTGGAATAGACAGTCCTGTAACTGAAATGAAATATAACTGGTCTCTAATCTTACCTATGGATCAATGCATGAGAATGTAGGTAGGCTAGTCCATGCAAGGCTCCATGAGTAATGGCAGCGATCTCTACTTCCTGTAGTGGTTTTTTATGAACTGAGGAAGGAAAAAATAAAAGTCAGCAGATGATCAGTTTCATTCTTCATTTTATTATTTTATACAACTATACCAGACTGAGTTACATACTTTCTTACATGACAATTTGGGAACACATTCACCTAAATATATAGGATACAGATCTTCTATAGAAGAGATAAGTGATCAGGTAACAGGAAACCCAAGCACATAAACAGAAATGAGCCTTCAAAACAAAAAAAGCCTGATATTGCTTAAATGATGCAGTTAATTTACTTGTCAGTTGCAAGCCAAGTCACACTGATTCCAATTAACCAGTCCCTTCCAACATTTTAAATGTCTGGAGTGGTCTAGGTTACATTATTCTCCCCTGCCACAAAGCCATCTTTAATTACTCCTTCAAACTACAGATTTTCATTATTTGTGAAAGCAGCTAATAAGCAATTTCTATTCAGAAATCAACAGTTGTGTCTAAACAACAACAAAAAAAACCAACCAAACAAAAAAAAGAAATCAACAGTGATTTAATTTTTTTTTTTTTTTTGAGACAGGGGTCTCACTCTGTTACCCAGACTGGAGTGCAGTGTTGCGATCAAAGCTCACTGCAGCCTTGAAATTCTGGGCTCTAGTGATCCTCCTATCTCAGACTCCTAAGTAGCTGGTATTTTTATTTTTTATTTTTGAGATGGAGTTTCGCTCATTGCCTAGGCTGGAGTGCAATGGCATGGTCTCGGCTCACTGCAACCGCCGCCTCCTGGGTTCAGGCGATTCTCCTGCCTCAGCCTCCCGAGTAGCTGAGATTACAGGCATCTGCCACCAGGCCTGGCAAATTTTGTATTTTTCATAGAGATGGGGTTTCTCCATCTTGGTCAGGCTGTTTTCGGACAGTAGCTGATATTACAGGTGTGAGCTTCCATGCCTGGCTCAAGATATTTTTTTAACGTAAATTTTTTTTTTTTTTTTTTGAGACAGAGTTTTGCTCTTGTTACCCAGGCTGGAGTGCAATGGCGCGATCTCAGCTCACCGCAACCTCCGCCTCCTAGGTTCAGGCAATTCTCCTGCCTCAGCCTCCTGAGTAGCTGGGATTACAGGCACGCGCCACCATGCCCAGCTGATTTTTTGTATTTTTTTTTGTAGAGACGGGGTTTCACCATGTTGACCAGGATGGTCTCGATCTCTTAACCTCATGATCCACCCACCTCGGCCTCCCAAAGTGCTGGGATTACAGGCGTGAGCTACAGCGCCCGGCCTTAACGTAAATTTTTAACACAGCCTCTGGTTATAGCAGCATCTGTAGAGAGGAACCGGGTCAGTCAAGATTTCTGAAAGGGTTTATTATCAATGTAATATGAGAATATCCACCTCTCTTTCACATATACCCATGAATATGTTTTTGGCTACACATACCATATCACATTAGCCAAACATTTTGGTAGTACCTGCCCTGGATGGGTGATGAACTAAAACAGGAAAAAGACTGCTAACATCACTCAGACACTTTCACTGGCATTGAAGAGATGAAGTGTGCATAGCTTATCCACACAACCCTAATGTCCAAGCCATCATTCAATTAGACTGCCCAAACTACTCTTCAGCATGGCAGTAGATAACATTCTGATCAACGTAAAGCCGAGAGTATAATTCCTTCTTTCTTACCTTCTAATAAATCAGACGCTGAGCCTAAGCAATATTCCATCACCAACTGTAAGAGATTAAAATAATATTCAGAATAATGAAAGTTAATTTAAAAAAACTGCTGAAACCAACTAATCGACCAACCAAGGAACTAAGAATACTAGGTGAATAAATGTTCTTACTTACCTGAACTTGGAGTGAATTTTGGTCATCTGGCACTAATTGATTTTTATAATTTTCATCATCTCAGTTTTTATTATTTCTTGCTTGGAATTGTCCTAAAGATTATTGGGGGACTAGATATAGAAATATTTACTATACATGGTGAAACCAAGATTGCCAATTTATTTATTAACTCCTTCACTACTTTATTTCAAAAAGGACTCAGGAGACTAGGTTGTACTATAAATTTGTAACTTAGAAAGTGGCAAACAAATACATGAGCCAGTAAAATCTATACTGGGGTTATACCAGTTAAATAAAATAAGCCAATAAGTAGTAAATTCCTTTTCTTCTTACTTTATATTATAATACTATTGATAGGCTGGGTGTAGTAGCTCACGCCTGTAATCCCAACATTTTAGGAGGCTGAGGCAGGCATATTACTTGAGGCCAGGAGTTTGAGACCAGCCTAGTCAACATGGGAAACCCCATCTCTACTAAAAATACAAAAAATTAGCTGGGCGTGGTGGCTTGCATCTGTTGTCCCAGCTACTTGGGAAGCTAAGGCCAGAGAATCGCTGGAACTCAAGAGGTGGATGCTATTGATAGTTATTGGGTTTGCCATCTGGGGAGGCTTTCTAAAAGCAAAAATGAGAAACCTGTTTCTTTACTCTTATCCTAGATTTTTTAGGTGTCCAAGACTATTGATTTATAATCAAAGTCAAAAGTATTTTTTAGGGCTTAGCAACGAATCTCCACACACACATGCAAGCATCCACACTCCTACAAATTATTATTTTGTTATTTAAAAGAGTAGTACATGCTCATTATGAAATATAAATTTCCTATAATCAACCAGATGTAACCAATATCAACATATTAGTTCCTTTCATTAAAAAAATTAATGTGAAAATATATTTGTATGTATTATGTGCCTTGCATTACTGAGGTAATTTAGAATACAAGAATTCTAGAAGTTAAAAATTTAGAAACTATTATACTTTTATTGTTATATATTTTAAATATCAATATATCAATATCAAGATATATAACATGAATATATTAATATTGTAAATATAAGTATACTATGTCTATATAATATAGAATATAATTACATTAGATATAACATACTTATAAGAGTTATATATTATATATAATAATGTCATATGTTATAGTTTTATAGTTATATATTTAAATACTATGTACCTTGCATTTCTGGAATAATTTAGAACAATATGAGAGGTTCAGAAGTTTAAAATTTAAACACCTTATTATACTTTTCTGCTTGACATTAAAAACAAACAGATTCAGAAACATTAATCTTATTTCTTATTATAAAATGGAAGATTTCACATAAGTAAATGTTATAATGAACACTAGCCTTTATGTCCCCTACTTTTTCTTTCTTTTTTTTTTTTTTAGAGATGGAGTTTCACCTTGTTGGTCAGGAGGCTGGTTTCAAACTCCTGACCTCATGATCCACCCACCTCAGCCTCCCAAAGTGCTGGCATTACAGGCATGAGCCACTGTGCCCAGCCTACTTTTTCTTTAGTCAATTTTCAAGAAAGTATTTCAAAATTTTATCACATAAATTTCTAATTTTTAAAAGTAACTGAATATGCATATGTAACTTCCTTAAACCGAGCATATGAAATATGAATATAGAACTTTAAAACTGAATAGAATTAATATGTTTATAGTTGCATTATATTTTTTAAATTACATGTTTAAAAACTCAGCATTTTTGTCACAAATATTTTTTCCCCTATTATTCTATAACACAAAGGCACCTGAGCTGGTTGTTTGCTCCTGACACTAAATGGCTCTAGCTGCTCTGCCTTTAAATTATTAGGTCTGCTTTCTAGCTTCCCTGACTTTCCATATGGTCAAATTATTCTTATGCCTGTTTGTATGCATGTCTCTAAGAGCTCAGTTCCTTAGAGCTCCTTCTAATTGGTCTATCAAGTCAATTGTAGACAGAAACCGGGTAGCCAAGCTTATTAACAGTCTATATAACCTAAGAGTAAACGGGCTTCAAGTAAGAGTATGGAGGATTTTCTGAAGACTTAAAACACATGAGATTTTAGCACTTGGATTTTGTAACATTTATTCTGCCTGTTTGAAATCCCTTTCCTGACAAGGCAGCTGAGATTGCTAGATAACGGATTTCTAGATAATGAGATACTTATTTGATTAATTTCTTATTTTCGGAATGGAAGCAATAGTTCTACATATCTCAAGAGTTTCTTGAACAGAAATGTGTATGTTTAATACACTGTTTGATAGTCTATTTGGGAACAAAAATTCCATTCCCTAATTAGAGTTCACATACAGGAAAGGACTTGGTACCCGGTAACCAATAAATGCTAGTTAAATTGGAGTTTAAGTAGGAATGTGGAATTTGATAAATTAGAAAGGATAACATTTTCATGCCCTAAATGTACCTAATGTGCTAACATAAAATCAGAAATACAACCATATAAAAATATACTAAGGGCCGAGCACAATGGCACATGCCTGTAATCCCAGCATTTTGGGAAGCTGAAATGGGTGGATCACTTGAGGTCAAGAGTTCTAGATCAGCTTGACCAACACGGTGCAACCCCATCTCTACTAAAAATACAAAAAATTAGCTGGGTGTGGTGGTGTGTGCCTATAGTCCCAGCTACTCGGGAGGCTGAGGTTCAAGAATGACTTGAATCTGGGAGGCAGAGGTTGCAGTGAGTAGAGATGGTGCCACTGCACTCCAACTGGGCAACAAGAGTAAAATTCTATCTCAAACACACACACACACACACACACACACACACACACACACACACACACATCTCACACTAAGGTGACAGAGTGGAAGAAAAGTCTTTTTTTTGATCTTATGGTAAAAGTCACACAGCGATGAAAACATCAAGCACAATTCCAAATATTGGGGAACTGGAGTGGAGGATAAGAAATGACAAAGATAAAAATTCTAGGATGAGAATATAAGGCGGTGCCTTTTACTTTTACAAATAAATAATTATAAAATGATGTCAGCCAGGTGTGGTGGCTCAGGCCTGTAATCCCAGCACTTTGGGAGGCCGAGGCGGGAGGATCACAAGGTCAGGAGATCAAGACCATCCTGGCCAACATGGTGAAACCCCGTCTCTACTCAGAAGGCTTTGGCAGGGGAATTGCTTGAACCCGGGAGGCGGAGGTGGCATTGAGCTGAGATTGTGCCACTGCACTTCAGTCTGGTGACACAGCAAGACTCCATCTCAAAAAAAAAAAAAAAAGATGTCAACTTTTCACAATCTCTTTTTGAGTGCTTATAGAATGGAATTTCCAATAGGCTAAATATCACTTAATCTTACGGAATGTATGCCATATGACACACTAAGGTATTAACAAATGTTAATAAACACTGATAACAAAAGTTAAATGGAACAGAAATGGGACTAATAATTTTACAGATCAAAGAGATAATAGAAAAAGAAGAAAAAAAAGCAGTAGTAAAAGAAATAGAGGTCCTTTGACTTACCCAAGCAGTGTGCTCTTTCAAGTAACAGCCTTTGTACTCAATGGTATTAGGATGCTTCAACTGTCGTAAAAATTTAACTTCCTTAAGAATATCTTGCCATTTCTATTGAAGTCAGAAAGGAAACATTTTCATTTTCAAACTGAAAATAGTATTTCCTATCAAGTATATATACATAATACTATTTATATTATTGTAAATGAACATGAAGTAAATGTTTAATAAATGAAGAATCTATTTAAACTTACTATTTCTCTCTTTTTTTTTTTTTTTTAAATCGAGATGGAATCTTGATCTGTTACCTAGGCTAGAGTGCAGTGGCACAATCTTGGCTCACCGTAACCTCACCCCCAGCGTCGGGCAATTCAATT